GGCAGCGCCGGGAGCAGCGCGGCCCCGCAGCCCTCCCCGCGCACACGCGCCGCAGCCGCCCCGCCGCCGCGCAGCGCCTGCCCTCCCTCCCCTCCTCTTTTTTTTCCCTTTTTTTTTTCCTTTTTAATTTTTTCTCCCTTTCTCCCTTGCCCGCACCCCGCCCTCCTCCGAGAAGGAAACTTGACTGGATTTAATACGTTTCCCCCGGCTGGAAAGGAGCCCCCGCCTGCTGGGTCTGCCCCGGCCTCCCGGCAGACGAGGTAAGAAATGGAGACGGGCAGGGGAGCAGCGGCGGCGGCGGCAACAACGGCGCGATCCGCCTGGCGGCGGGGGTGGGGAGGAAGCGAAGCGAAGCGAAGGGAGGAAGGCAGGCGCTCGCGCTCCTCTCGATATCCTGTTTTCGGCCTCTGTTTGGTGCCCGCCTCGCGCTGCCCTCCGCGCGGCGGGACGCGCCCGCTGCCGGCGCAGCCGCCGCTCGCGTGGGGGCTGGGGAGGCGGCCGCGCGGGCGGAAAGTTTCTGAGGCGCTCGGACACAGAAGTTTCTTTGTTCCGTGGGAGAAGGTGCCGCGCTGGGACGGCCCCGCGGCGAGGCCGGGCTCCCGCAGCCCCTCTCTGAGGGCGCCGCCGGCCCCCGCAGCGCCGTTACCGGGAGCCCTGGCGGGGAAAGCCCCGTGTTTAACGGGCAGAGCCTGGCGTTTGGAGCTCGCTCTTCAGCCTCGGCCTCTGGCAGAGCAGCCCGTGTGCTTTCCCAAGAGTAACCGCTCGTTTCCTCTCATAAGGACCCGTCCCCGTGGTCGGGTCTTGCCGCTGCTGCCCTTCCTCGCGTCCCTCGACGTAACGAGTTTGGCCGCATATTTTCCAACTCGCCCGGGAGAGCCGCGCGCTGCCTCCCGCTCCTTGCACAAGTTCCCCTCGAGAGGCTCCGTTGGGAGGAGAAGCTGCTCTCCTCCCTCTTCAGCAACTGGTTGGCGTCGCGGAGGTGCCGCCGAGCCCTGGCCAAGCACAGCCGCGTTGGCCGCCGTGTAAAGGCGAAGCTGTCGGGGGTGAGCGACACCGTGGTTCTGCTGCAGGGTTTTCGCAGAACTGCTCCGTGTGTCAAGTAGTCGCATTTAGGGCGAGCGATATTGCTCCATATCTTGGTTTCACGTGCCTCCCAGAGAGGGTTGTTGGCCGGCTCCCCATGCAGGTGAGGAGCTGCTTGTCCCATGAAGGTTTCCAGTGAGCCGTAGTTTGTGCTGGCTTATTTTCCTAAATGGCCCTTGCTGTCGAACCAGCTCGAGTGCAGGCTGTTTGTCAGGCAGGATGTGCCTTCCTTCCTAGCTCGAGTAGCTGAGCAGCATGTGTCGGTATTTACGAGGAGAGGACAAAGTGATTTCTATGCAAACACATTAAAACGTATGGTGTTGGTAGTTCTTCAACAGCACCAAGGAGTCGAGTGTTATTAATCCTGCTTAGGCTGTTTCATTAAATTATATAATGCAAGGAAACATGTTAAAGTTTAACTGACCTAAAGTGGCTTCTCTTGCTGATAACGAGTGATTTGGTTTGCAATTTATAGACTTACCTTTCTAGGCAGCAGTAAAGGTTGTTCTTGGGCGTCTGAAAGGGCTGAACAAAATAAATGGCAGTGAACTTCAGTCTCCTTATATGGCTGGTGCTTGGCAGAAAAGCAATGAAGTCTAAATAGAGTAATCCTTTTACAAAGAACGATCACTTTCCAAAGCAGTGTCTCAGCCCCAGTAATGACTGGAGATTCGGGGCAGGGGGAATGTGGGGGGAGGAATTGGAGCAGTGCATGACAAATTTAGTTGTAAACCCCTATGTTCTTAATGGATGCAGTTTTGTTTCTTTTCAGACCTTTTGTGTTTCTCATCATGCACTTGATATTTTTCAATGCCACACAGAAGAATAGATCCTTGTAGTGGAGCCACAACTTTTTACACTAGTGTTTTGTCACCATGGTAGCTATGGATAAGGCCCTTTTTAATGATGAAAGTGTAATTCACTTCTGCTTACAGCTAATGGTTATATCATAGAATGCCACTCGTGTCATTAACATAGTTTCATAGTCATGAAGGACTGTATTCTTTCTCAAGACTGACTGTGTTTCAGTTCAGAATTAGGTTGATGCTCACATTGGTTTTATGAATAAAATGATTTAGGTATACACCTGGCAGCTCTGTTGTTTGGAACAGCTCTTTCATAGGTGTGTGTTGATGGCTTGGGGAAACATTCTTCTTACCTGGCTGTTCCTCGCTCGTGAATTAAATTAAGTTCATGTAAACATTGGTGACTTTAGTTGCTCTTACAGTCAGAGAGCTTGAGATTACATATATGGTGCGCTATCAGGAGGTCTACCGTATACTTTTTCAAGCAATTTCAGTAAAAATATGAATAAATTTGGCTTTGTCTATTTAAATATGTAATACATACTAATAAAAATTAAAGTTATCATATTGGTAATAGATTTTAGAAATAAAGAGAATGAGAGCAGAATTCTTCAGCTTTGCTTTTCCATGGGCATGTAATGGATTATTGTCTGACTGCTTTGTTCTTTGTTTTGTTTTTGTCTTTCCTGCTCCCAAACAAAAAGGAAAATCTTCCAGGGAAAACGTTATTTAAAGATCAAGTGTTTGATATCTCTTAACAGTATATTCTCCCCATGGAATAACCTGATAAACTAAAGTAGGGTCTGACATTTACTCTGTATAGTAGAATTACAAACCTAAACTTTGAAAAAGGGTGACATTTTGTCTTGAAGAAAAAGATGCTGTTACTAATATGAAAATAGTAAATGTCCCTATGTGAGCATGCAAATGTTGATTCTGATGATTGGGATAGGTGGTTAAACATGAACTATCTGCAAAGTAAAGATTTGGATACAAAACTGTTAGATTTAAAGCAGCTTGTCAACTCGCCTTTCCAGATCAGAATGAAAACATTGAATATGAAAATTATATATATATATATATATATACACATTGCTCTTCAGCAAAAATGTTATAATTATTATTTCTGATTTTTAGTGATTTGCAATAACCTATTAAATTGCTAGCTTAGTGTCTTTGGAGCATCTTACAAAGTCCAGTGTATGCTTCTGAGGTATGGATTACTTTTCTTCCTACAACTTCTGAAAGCTGAGAGATTAGTGTTTTGAATGGGTAGAGGAAATCTTTATGTTGTGCAACTTGTGAGCAGTCCCATGGCTGCTGTTTGTGTGTCAGATTCCAATTCTGGACAAGGGGCCCTTTTGACTTTTCAAAGCTGCTTGAAATATGCAACAGCTTCCCCCAGTGCTTGCGGTTCTCTTCACCTCTTGGGATGAGCTGCTGCAGTTTCCAGCTGTGCCGGGGCCGCGTGGAGCCCGCTGCATCAGCACGGCCGGCACAGGGCCGAGCAGCTATAGGCAACAAGTAGTGGGCCTCAGTGATGCTGCCTGGCCTACCCCCTAACGACTGACAACCCCAGAGAGATGCTAGGAACCTTTTTAAGATAAAGGTGGTCCAAAGATTAACATGACTGCTTTGTGGGTGGGTTTTTGGTTTTTTTGAAAGATTTTGGGCTGTAAAACATTTGCTTATTTAAGCAATCTTTACTTCTGATTAAGAATACAGTGTTCATATACTGTGAATAGAAGGTTTAAAATATAAATTTTTAAGAGTGAAGATGCTGATATAGCAGAGGGTATGTAAATACCATGTTCTGTTTGCATAAGAAAATTGGGAAAAGTGAGTGTTACTATGCTGAAATTGGTAGTATTTTTATTATATAATAATCTTGGGATTTTTTTTTAACTCAGTAGTACTTGGTCTTTCTAAGACACTATTTTTTTGATGCTTAAACTAATGTATAGATATTTGACCTGCTTGTTTAGTTTCATCTGTGCTTTCTCTGAGGGTAATGGAGAAACATGGTGTTTCAACATTGAATTATTCCTTCCATCTTTAGATGTGCACCAGGATTTTGCATAATTGAAAGATAGAGTTAAGCAGATCTCTTAGTTTGGCTTCATCTACATCAAATGGAAGTGTACTTGGAAAGCTTACTTAGGTACATACTTACCTTGGAGAGTGGCAGCTTTGCTTGCGTAGCTTAAGTTGAAAAGTAGATTACTTTCTCTATCTGAAGCTAATTTGTAGACACTTGATACTAAACAATCATTATCCTTAAGAACAAAAAGAGTGCTGATTAAGCTGAGTCTAAAGACAATGTGAACTCTCTGCTGCCATGGCTCTCCTGGGGCTTGTAATATTATGCGAAGTTACCCTGGCCCTGTAGCTCCTTGTGTTGGATGACTGAATCTTGTCAGATAAGTTAGTATATACCGTCCTCTGCACTTTATCTATTTCAGTAGCTGATGAAGAATTTGGCCTTACTCTTCTGTCCCATTTTTTGGCACGGTCAAGGGCCAAGAAAGTGTTAGGTAACAACATTTCTGTACAAATTTTGTTTTACACAGATTAGGGAGGGAAGAGGAATGTTCTGTGCTGTCCTGTTCTGTGTCTGTGCAGTGATTAGACACAGTCTAGACCTAAAAATCTTGTGAGTATAAGGAGAACTTCTTTTATTCTCTGTAAAAGCGAAGCCACAAAGGGAAGTGATTCTGAAGTGCACATTTTTTTTGTAGTTTCTAAAATTTTACGTATCTTTTATTATATACCCTTGCCTCTTCTGTAAATGAAACTTTTTAATTGAACTTTTATGTTTCACATTGCTGTTCAAAGGAATCCTGCAAGTGTAAAACTGCATTGTGTATGCATAGTGAAACAACTGCTAAAAGCAAATGTTTTTTCTGCTTCTCTTACCTACATGTATATTGTGAGAATAATAACTGAAAGAAACTGGAGGTCGGTATCGTCAGGCTGGTTAGTTCAAAATTCACAAGGTGTGTCAGCTCCATTTCTAAATAGAAAATTTTCTAAGCACTCAGAAATCTCCAAGCTGGTATAAAGCAGTAAGCACAGTGCTGAGCTTCCATGTCTTGTGCCTCAGTCCAGAAGGCTGGTGTGGAATGAGCAGAAATAAGTGTATGTAGACCAAGAAATTAATGATCTGTCTATTTTGGATTTTTTTTTTTCACAGCTCCAGTGGGAGATCTTGCAGCTAAACATATAGATTTTTTTTTTCAAGAAACATATAATACTTGTTCCAAGTGCTGCGTTACGTTCTCTTCAAAATCTAATTGTACTTGGGAGTTACCTTCCTGTGAGCTGTTAGTGACCAATTATGGCTCTTTGGGCTACTTACCTAGTTCTGGGGG